ATAATAATTAAAGAGTAAACTGGCTCATTGCTTTGTTTTGTTTTTTGTATTCTTTATATTTCAACTATTTTTATAATAGGTGTATCTTTTTATATTTTTCGTTTTATAAAGTAAATATGTTAATTGGACAGTTAATTGGACAGTTCCCAATCTGTGCAATATCACGTGATAATTATTTCCATGCAGATTGCCGATTGTTAACATGGACAAGTTTCAATTAATTTCCTTTTATTTTAATATAAGAGATAGCCTACTTCAGTCACTTTCGTTATGAAGTAACAGCATAATACGTATTGCCGCTGACTGCGTTGTCCAAAAAGATATTTTCTTTTTTTGAAGCTCAACACTCAAAACAGCTGGCTTCTCTCACACACCGTGCATTGGATGCAATTTTCAGACAAACACGGGCGTTCATTGTCATGTMTTAAATTGCCTACTGAACCGTATTACACAAAAATGAGTAGGCTTTGAACAGTTCAAAACAAAAACAATGTATTCAAACTCTGGCTCCAACAATGTCTACATTACACTGCTCGAAATTTATTTATTTATTTATTTGCACCGTAACATTCAGATGCAAAAAGTTAAAAAAGCAATATAAATAAAATAGTAATAATAGGAATAAATTTTCCATATCGATAGGGGGCGATAAGTCATTGCAGTTCTAGATGATAGTGCAGCTAATTGACCGTAGAAGAAGAAACGCGTTACGCAGGTGTTTACGTTTCCACTTCCGTAGCTTCAGGATAGCGGCATACCGTCACCAGGATGATTTAAAATCCAAATTTTACCTAGAAATTCTCGATTATAATCTAGATTCTTCTCACTTGTGAGATAAAGTGGGCTTTACAGATGAAAATGATTCAAGTCGTTTAATGTCCACAGATAGCGCTGCGTCGCGATCTTTTTTCATTCTCATTCATCGCARGTAAAAAAGCTAAAACGCGAGCAGCGCGTTAATAAATCGTGGACACGTAATTGAATTAAAAAAAGGAAAACATCAGCTGATCCGCATTTTGTCCTGGTTTAATTTAGAGTTGAAACAAGCCAGCCATGGCCACTAGGCGTCTGACCGATGCCTTCTTGTTAATGCGGAACAATGCAATCCAAAACCGGCAGATTTTGGCTGAGCAAGTGAGTACAAACGAGCCCCGTCTGAGTACACGTAGCAATGCTGCGGTGAGTGGTCTGCTTCGTTCTGACATTTTATTGTGTGTGTTTGCATGTAGCCAGTCACTGAGCCCTCGTAGCTAGCTCCACCAGTGTATCATTAGCTGCTGTGCATTCCTCTGATCGGACTGAAGGTGCAGATGCTTCACCTCAGGGCTGATGGAGGAGGAGGACTGGCTTGTTCTCTCCACTGAAGCTAAACTGCTACAGACAACAATATATTTATGTATTAAAGATTATCCAGTGCGAAAGACGGTTTAAAAGAATACAACTGCAGTGAGAATATAAATGCATGTTTTGTGTCCACGTTGCTCATCATTAGTATAAGTGTGTGCTGTGGTCTATTAAATTAAACTGTGTCGTGACGTATTGAACTAGGCTGCAGTTATAAAAAAAAAAA